AAAAAAAAAAAAAAGAGAAATCAGATCGGTCTTTCCTTAGGAAGAGTCATTTCTGCAACTTCCTCTCATGGTTCAGCATAACACTAATAGTTATATACAAAGAGAAAGAGAGAAATAAAAAACAAAGCAAAAGTATCAAAACATTAACAATTGGTGAATCTATTACAAGTGAAGGGTATGTAAGTACTTATATAACTATTACAACTCCTCCATTTGTGTGAATATTTTTATTTTTATTTCATTTTTTTGAGATGAAGTGTCACTCTGTCACCCATGCTAGAGTGCAGTGGTTCACTGCAACCTCCGCCTCCTGGGTTCAAGCGATTCTCCTGCCTCAGCCTCCCAAGTAGCTAGGACTACAGGTGCACACCACCATGCACAGCTAAGTTTTGTATTTTTAGTAGAGACAGGGTTTCACTGTGTTGGCCAGGCTGGTCTCGATCTCCTGACCTCGTGATCCACCCACCTCAGCCTCCCAAAGTGGTGGGATTACAGGCGTGTGCCACCATGCCCAGCCTGAAAATTTTTAAAACAGGGTTGAGGGAGTATAGCTACTTTAGTAGTTTCTTATAAAGTCAAACATACACTTATCACATAACCAGTGCTCTTAAATAACCAAGAGAAATGAAAATAAAGACTTATAGATGAATGGTTATAGCATGTTTATTAATGATTGCTAAAAATGAGGAGGGAGTATCCATCAACTAGTGAAAAGATAATGGATATATGGTACATCCATAGCGTGCGATACTATTCAGCAGTAAAATAAATTAATTATTGATCATGCAGCAACATGGATGAATCTCAGAAGCACTATACTAAGTGAAAAGTCAGACATAGAAGGCTGGCCTTATTATTTCACTTAAATGACATTATGAAAAAGGAAAAGCTACACGGATAGAAATCCGACAGTGGTTGCCAGGGGATGGGTGTAAAATAAGCAAATTGACTATAAAGGGAGAACAAGGTAACTTTTTGGGGTTCTGAAATACTCTATCTTGAGCATGGTGGTGGTTACACACATATACACTTGTCAGAGCTATTAGAAATGTATACATAAAAATGTTGAACTTTTCTATATGTAAATTATACCTCAATAAACCTAATTTTAACCAAGAGTCGAAGGAAAACAAAATCAATTTTTATTCAGTAGATTATTGTGCTTGCTCTATTAGTTAACTAAGATTAAAGGTCTCAAATCAGATTATGTTTACTAAATGTTTTTTCTGACATGGTAAAATAGATAGCTTTCAAACATATGACATTTGTCTTTGTTGATACGATATACTTGTAGATCTTTAGGCTAGTGTTGGTTTACATTTTGTGAAAAATTATTTTAGATTATGGTTGGCAAACTTTTTTATAAGGATTCAAATTATAAATATTTCAGGCTTTGCAGGCCATATCTTTGTCACAACTACTCAGTTCTGCCATTGTAGCAAGAAAGTAACCGTAGATGATATGTAAACAAAAATGTGTGACTGTATTCCAATCAAGCTTTCTTTGCAAAACAGGCATTGTAGACTATAGTTTGTTGACCCCTGTTTTAGGTGATTGCAGAAAGTCAGGAAACAGTGATTAAAGCAAAAATTGATGCTGACTCAAAAAAAATTCCTTAAAATATATCAATTTTTTTATTAGGAATTGAACATGGGCCAGCGATGTTCCGATACTAGAGGCATTGTCTTTGAAGATGTGAGAGTGCCTAAGGAAAATGTTTTAATTGGTGAGGGAGCTGGTTTCAAAATTGCAATGGGAGCTTTTGATAGAACCAGACCTGCAGTAGCTGCTGGTGCTGTTGGATTAGCACAAAGAGCTTTGGATGAAGCTACCAAGTATGCCCTGGAAAGGAAAACTTTTGGAAAGCTACTGGCAGAGCACCAAGCAGTATCATTTATGCTGGCTGAAATGGTAATGAAAGTTGAACTAGCCAGAATGAGTTACCAAAGAGCAGCTTGGGAGGTTGATTCTGGTCGTCGAAATACCTATTATGCTTCTATTGCAAAGGCATTTGCTGGAGATATTGCAAATCAGTTAGCTACTGATGCTGTGCAGATATTTGGAGGCAATGGATTTAATACAGAATATCCTGTAGAAAAACTAATGAGGGATGCCAAGATCTACCAGATTTATGAAGGTACTGCGCAAATTCAAAGAGTTATTGTAGCCCGTGAACACATTGGCAAGTATAAAAATTAAAGAAATTACTATAGAAACATGATTAAACATTGAGTAACTAGAACACAATCTACTGCTACAGCTCCAGAAAAGAGAAAGGGCTTTAACACTTTTTCCAGTGAAAAAAAAAAAATAAGTCCTCTTATATTAAATCTAAGCAACTGATTATAAGAGTAGTTTATACTTATAACTCTATGATGTCTCTTAAGCAGGTTTGTTTTTTATTAAAATTATGTGTTTTCTTTAGTACCACTTTACTTGAATTACATTAACCTAGAAAAGCACATATGTTTTGTTATTTGATCTCTTAAGATTAATGTAGCAGAAATTTCTTGGAATTTTATTTTTTTAATGACAGAAAAGTGGGCTTAGAAAGTATTCAAGATGTTACAAAATTTACGTTGAGAAAATATTGTAGGATTTGAATACTATCAAATAACTTGCCATTGACTTTGTAGACAATGTATTATTTTATTAAAGTTCATTTTGCTGCAGTTTTAAAAGCGTTTGCTTTCAGTCTGGCACAGAAACAGTCAAAATTTTGACATTCATATTCTCCTACTTTATAAAATTTTCAAGAACTTTCTTGAAAATCTTGTTTAATTCTGAGCCCATATTTCACTTGCCTTATTTAAAATAAATCAATAAAGCTTTCCTTAAACTATTTTTATATGACTGTTGGTCTGTAGTTAGCCTTTGTATTGTGCACAATCTCATTTCATGTGGATGCATTTTGGCAAAGAACTTAATAAAATTGTTCAGTGCTTGTTATCATATCTTTCTGTATTTTTTCCAGAAAATTTCATTACTTCATATAATAGTGTATATTTTGTGTATTTACTATCATGAAAGAAAGTCAAGTTTTAATTTTGAATTGAATAAAGTTACCTCTTCATTTTTATTAGGCTATATTAAACTGCATTATACTAAATGGAGTGCTTTCTGACATCCTATCTCATTCTCTAGCTCCCTGACATCAACTGTGTCCTACATTTCAATTCTGTTCTGACACTATGCAGAGTTAGGCTCAATCCCATAAGTCTGCCCTCATATCAGAGGCCAGTCACAAGTCCTGAGTCCCCAAGCTACCCATACTCTGTCCAACATGACTACAAATTCAGGTATTCCCATGACCCTGCTGTCAGGTTTGATAATTTGCTAGAATTGCTCACAGAACTCAGGAAAACACTTTACTTATATTTACCTGTTTATAAAGGGTACAACTCAGGAACAACTAATGAAGAAGTGCATAGGGAAAAGTATGAAGGGAGAAAGGAGGTGCAGAGCTTCCATGCCTTCTTCCAGCATACTGCTTTCCCAGCATGTCTATGTATTCATCAACTGGGAAGTTTCCCAACTCTCATTCAAGAGTTTCCATAGAGATCAATCTCCAGTACTTCTCTCCTCCCAGGAGGTCCAAGGTGAAAGCTGGAAGCTCCCAACTGCAGTAGTCTCCTAGGGTTGCCATAAAAAATACATGGCAGACCTGGTGGCTTAAATAAATTTATTTTCTCACAGTTCTGGAAGCTAGAAGTTCAAGTTCAAGGTGCCATTTGGGATGGTTTCTAGTGAGGCCTCTCTTCATGTCTTATAAACTGCCACTTTCTGTGTCCCTACATGTCCTCTTCTCTGTGCATCATCAAGGATTGGGTTAGCGGGAGCTCTTGTGTCTTTTTCTCCCCTTCTAAGGACACCAGCCCTATGAAATTAGATCCCTATCCTCGTGACCTTAATTAACTTCCTAAAAGGCCCTATCTTCAAGTACAGTCACATTGGGAGTTAAGGTTTCAACATAGGAATTTTGGAGGGACACAATTCAGTCCATAATATCACCCTCTAGTTACTTAGTCCTTCTGGTGACCAGACCCCTCTTGAGACTGTCTAGCGGCCCCACCCTAAGTCATCTCATATGCTAAACTCAGGTATGATTGAAAAGGGCTTATAAGGAATAGCAGAAGATATTCCAAGCACTCAAGAAACTCCAAGTGTTTTAGGATCTCTGTGTCAGGAACTGGGGATAAAGACCAAATAAATTTCTTATACCACACTAAATTACCAAAATAAAAATCTAATCTTTTACAAATATAAAATATTTAAATGACTTTTCCTTCATGCTCAATGATGAAATTGTATTTAAATGACACAGTTTGAGATTGGTAAGGAGATTTAGAAATTTCTTAATTGAGTATTATATAGAAATGAGAAGTTAAAGAGAATATATATATATATATAATTCAAATGCAAATTTGAATTTGCAATACACAGGCCCAGCCATTTCTGAACATAAAGCTTCTAGAAATGGGGTGGGAATGGTGGCTCATGCCTATAATCCCAACACTTTGGGAGGCTGAGGTGGGAGGATCACTGAAGCCAGGAGTTTGAGGCTACAGTGAACTATGATAGCACTGTTTATACTCCAGCCTGGGTGACAGAGTGAGATTTTGTCTAAAAAGAAAAAGTTTCTATACAAGATATAAATGTACACCAAAGCCTTATGATGAGAATATTAAAGTATCCTTGCTAATAAATATTAACCACTTACATAATTTTATATCAGTTAAGCCATGCTAGTCCCAAGTAACAAATGAACTTAAGCTACTTTAATCAAATATGTATTTTAAGTATGTTGAAATGCCTCATAGATCTGAAAGGCAGGAATGGAGTCAATCTCAGAAAGGGACTAAAACCAGAATAGCCAGTCCTCAGGAATCCTTGAAATATATATAGTCTTTTGCTAACTCGCTACTTGTGTCATATTTTAGTCATTGCTGCTCTGTAGCCTAACTTTCTCTGCTTCTTTGATCCCATGATAGAATCAGACGACTTCACTGTAGCATATTTATAAACTGGATTGACCATCACACATATAAGCTTGCTGACTAGGGCCATTACAAGAAGGAGGGTAGGTACAGTCAAGGACTACAAACATGATTGTTAGTCATGGACTACAAACATGATTCTCCATCTGTGAATTGATGGTTCCTAGAGAAAGCATACTTTTATATGTGATCTGGTAGGTTTACAACAATTTTAATGAATGTTTAAGGAATCTATCAGAGTCATCAATTTGCATAAAGGGAGAAGAATTATTCAGTGACTACTCTGGATTAAAAAAAAATGGCTATTGATATGGCTTCTAGAATTACAGCCATTAATTTGAATACATTACCCATGATCAAATAGTACGAAGCATTTTTGGAGATTAAAGATTACATTCCACAGGTAACACTGTTTTTTTTTTTTTTCTTAATATGTGAAAGACTATTTACTCAATAGATGAGGGAACTAGTATAAAGTTAAAACTGGTATAAAGGAGAATTTGAAGAGCAGGTGTAGGCAGTAAGAAATGCTTAAAATAATTTCTTCTAGATTAACTATATCCTATTGTGATATTGTGCTGGCCTAGAGCCAGAACCGGAGCAAAACTATTTTATAAAATGCAAAACTGTTTTTAGATAAGTTGAAATGGCTGCCCCATTCTCCTCACAATAACTACTGTCCTTGGCTACTGTAAATAGAACTGCTAGTTTGTTCTTCAAAACTATGTAAAGCTGCTTACCTTTTCTTATCAGTAACTGCCAGAATTGCTAGCCTTTGCTTACCNGGAGACAGAGTCTCATTCTGTTGCCCAGGCTGGAGTGCAGTGGCATGATCTTGGCTCACCACAATCTACACCTGCCAGGTTCAAGCAGTTCTCATGCCTTAGCCTCCTCAGTAGCTGGGACTATAGGAACGTGCCACCACACCCAGCTAATTTTTGTATTTTTAGTAGAGACGGGGTTTCACTATGTTGGCCAGGCTGGTCTTGAACTCCTGATGTCTTGATCCACCTGCCTTGGCCTCCCAAAGTGCTGCGATTATATGCATTTTAAATATATTCTAATTCAGTAACCCTTTTTTGGGTAGTGTTAACTCTTTTAAGGATCAAGAAACTGAAGCTTAGAGAGGTATTAAACGATTTGTCCAAGGCCACACAATTTATAAGCCTCAGATCCAGGATTCTAATTGTTGCCCTTTTATGCTTTTTTTTTTTTTTTTTTTTTGCTAGGGAGGAGGTGGGGGACAAAGTCTTGCTCTGTCACCCAGGCTCAAGTACAGTGGCATGATCTGGGCTCACTGCAACCCCCACCTCCCGTGTTCAAGCGATTCTCATGCCTTAGCCTCCTAAGTAGCTGGAACTATAGGCATGCACCAACACACCCAGCTAATTTTGGTATTTTTAGTAGAGATGAGGTTTCTTTATGTTGGCTGGGTGGTGTTGAACTCCTGGTCTCGAGTGATCTGTCTGCCTTGGCTTCCCAAAGTGCTGGGATTATAGGCCTGAACCACTGTGCCTGGCCTATGTTATACTCATAAGTCTTGTTACTTCCTATGTCTTCTTGAGTATCAAATAATTTTAGTACTAGAAAGACTCATGTCTTCCATGAATTTCCAGGTTAATTCTTAACTCTTACCTCTTCAAATATTGATGCTCCCTCATTATCTGTATTCTCTCCTGCAACTCACTATGAGTTGTATAGTGAACTTCCTATTTTTTTTTTAAACTTAAAGACAAGGGTGAAGAAACCTTTTTTTTTTTTTTTTTTTTTTTTTCCTGAGACAGAGTCTTACTCAGTTGCCCAGGCTTGAGGGCAGTGGTGCAATCATTGCTCATTGCAACCCCCTAGGATCAAGTGATCCTCCCACCTCAGCCTCTTAAATAACTGGAACCATAGGGGCACACCACCATGCCTGGCTAATTTTTTTGTTTTGGTAGAGATGCGGTCTCACTGTGTTGCCCAGGCTGGTCTCAAACACCTGGGCTCAAGTAGTCCTTCCACCACAGCCCCCATGAGTCTCTAATTCCTATTCCCATGTGTCAGTGGTTCTCAAATTATCTGTTGTGAAAGACCAGTTTGTTATAATTTTCAATTAATGTGGACCATTATTTTTGTAAAATATAAGAATGTCACAACAATGTTAAATTGCTGTAAAAGTTTCTAAATGCTTATTCTCTTCTGTACCATCTACCAGTAACAGTTTGTGAATCAGCACTGTGGACAAACTTGGATTAGCACTGCTCTGTGTCCCTTAACCTTAGTTTCATAATTTATCTCTCTATGCTATATTCTAGATTATTTTCTCAGATTTGCTTTCGAATTCTCTTATCTTGTGCCTAATCTATTTAAGGCTATAAAAAATCTGTTGATTTTTTTATTAATGACTACTTTTCATTTCCAGAAGTTATATTTGTTTTTTTCCATTATACCTTCTTTTCAACTTAGTGCCTCTTTTTCCTTTTTTGTCATTAATCATGGAAAAATTCTTTATTTATAATCAATTTCAGATTTTTTTGTTGTCTTCAATTCTTGGGGTGCTAATCTTGCAGTGTATTGTGTCTGCTAACTCTTTTATGGTCAATTATTTCTCTTTTATTTTTTGTTTGTAAGCTTATCTGCAGGAGATACTATTTTTCTCAGTGCATTATGGAAGCATTTTAGAAACTGGCTTTTGTACTTTTTCAGCACTTTTGTTAGGTACTCCAAGATTTCACCATTCTAAGAACTGTTACTTTACATTAATTTCTCAACTTGGGGAATCCTGTATCATAGAAGCCATGTACATTGATCCCGCACATTAAGAAATTCCCTACATTCCAGTCTGGGCAATAGTGTGAGACCCTGTCTCAAAACAACAACAACAGAAGTCCTTTCTTTTCTTGTTCTTTCTTTAAACCTCCTGGGCAAGAGATAAGCTTCTTTGTGGCCTTGTATCCTGAGACTTTTAATTGCCCCTT